AGGTGCAGTGTGTGTGTGAGTTTCAGGGGTGCAGTGTGTGAGGGTGCTGTGAGTGTGTGTGGGTGCTGTGAGTGTCAGGGGTGCAGTGTGTGTGTGTGTGTGTGAGTGTGATTATATCCCCCCTCCCTTTTTACCTTTAGCCTTGGAGGGGGGATCGTGCTGCTGCCATCCCTGGTGGTGCTAGTGGTGAGTGAATGCTAGCCTGTGGGCTAGAGTTCACTCTCACGAGACCTGGACCATGGCAACTGAATCTCGCAAGACGAACCCGGCGGAGCTGCTGTCCCGGGTTCCTCTCCTGTCTCCCTCCTCCAAATACACTTATAATGAAATCATATATATGCATTATATATGTATTATATATTATAAAATGCTTTAATTTTTTTACAATATATAGTGTGTGTGTGTATATATATATATATATATATACACACACACATACATAAAAACATGTATTATATACACACGTATTATATGTAAATATGTGTGTGTGTATATATATATAGTTTTTGTGTAAAAAAAAATGCAAAAAACAAATAAAAACGCTAATTTTGGCCAGCGTTTGTGACTAAGTGGCTACTACAAAAGACTGGACATACCCCATTTTAAATACCCTGGGTTGTCTACTTTTTTAAATGGTATGTCATGGTAAGGTACATTTTCATTTCTGGGCTGCCATACCATCTCCAAGGCAACATAGCCAATCTGGCAAATAGCAATTTACAAAAACAGAAATTGGCAAATCTTATGTTTGACCATGTAACTTTCCAAATCACCATAAAACGTGTACTCAAGCAGTACTGTTGTACTCATGAGACAATATTCTATACAAACGTGTTTTTATAGCAGTTAAATGTATTATACTGATAATATCATTGACGAAACAGCAGTTTAGGTGTGAAAAATGCAAAAAAACTAATATAAATGCAGATTTGGGCTAGGGTTTGTGACTAAGTGGCTACTAAAAAAGACTGGACATAACCCATTTTGAATACCATGGGTTGTCTACTTTTACAAATGATATGCCATAATAGGGTTAATTTTCATTCCAGTGCTGCTATATGGTCTCAAAGGAAACATAGGCCCAGCAAACCAATCTGGTAAATTTCAATGTGCAAACATGGAAAAGGGGAAAGCCCTGCATTTGACCCCTCTAAGTTTGCAAAAACCCATAAAATCTGTACATTGGGGGCACTGTTGTACTTGCGAGATGTTGCTGAACACATATTGTGGGGTGTTCTTTGTTAGTAGCACATAACAGGAACTGAGAATCCATGCCTAAAGTACAATGTGAGAGAATAATAACACAAAAATATGACTACCCAAAAATTTGACAAAGACTGGTGGTAGAATTAGAGCATGGAAAGTGTTAAAATACCACCATTTGAAATTCCCTAGGGTGTCTACGTTTCAAAAATATATGGTTTGATGGGGGTGAATTACATTGGTTGGCTTCAAAAATGTCCCAAATAGGACATGGGTGCATGATGACCAGCTGTGAAAATTCCATGTTGGAAAACTGGAATGCGCACCCTCCAAATAAGGTCTTTTAGTCCCCAGAGAACCCGACACACCTGTACATGGGTGGTATTACTGTACTCAGGAGATGTTACTGAACACATATTAGGGTGTTCCTTGTCAGTAATACATAACAGGAACTGAGAATCCATGCCTAAATTACAATGTGAGAGAAAAATAACACAAATAACACAAACAATTGTGTTCTTTGGCGGGAACCCTTAAAGTTCTCACTACATGTATTCTTAAATTGCCATGTGTGTCAAAAAAATCACCAATTATTTAATTTTTTTTAAATTTGGCATAGATTGGTGGTAAAATGGTTACATGAAAAGAGCATGAAAAGAGTCAAAATACCCCAAGCTTAATGCCTTAGGTTGTCTTGTTATAAAAAATTATACATGTGAAGGGATTCATGACAAATATCAGTGTTACAATGTAACTTGCATTAATTTAGAAAAAAAAATGGTTTGGAAATAGCAAAGTGCTACTTGTAATTATTACCTTATAACTTTCCAAAATAAAGCTAAGAACATGTTAACATTTGGTATTTCTAAACTCAGGACAAAGTTTTTTGGCAGTTGTAGATGCGTAACAGATTTTTGGGGTCAAAGTTAAAAAAATAATTGTTTTGAAAGTAAATTATATGATATGATGAAAATGGTATATTTTAAATAGCTAGGAACAGGGTATATAATATGTGAGGGTACAGTAAATGAGTAAGAGGAAAATTACAGCTAAACACAAACACCCCTGAAATGTAAAAACAGCCCTGGTCCCAAACAGTAAGAAAATTGAAAAGTGGTATGGTCACTGAGGGGTTAAAATGGGTCTCTTGTATGCATTCATCTGACTTGTTTACTTTGGTTTCCTTAAAGAGCAAGATTCTTATGTGCGCCATGTACAGACCTCTCACATTAGATGACAATATTTTCAACACTATTGTAAATAATAAAAAAATGTATTGTCTGAATTTACTTTAATTTCACTATTGGGTGACAGCCTGAATCACAGAGCACAAAAGGAATCTTTATAGAACTCAATATAGCAACCAGAGCCATAACATTTGCAATGACCATTGCAATATACAATAGAACTGTGCCATAATATGGTTAAAGTATATATCAAAATAAGGAAAATTGTTTCATACTTACCGTAATTTTCTTTTCCTGATCATTATTCATGGCAGCATTTACTCATGGGTTAGCTCCTCCACTCACGGCAGAAAGGACTAAATAGATCCTCCCCCTTCCCATCAGGCAGTCTTTGTCATTAGCTTCACAGCTCTTAGTAGATGGGTAGGAACGTAATGCTACCATGAATAATAATCAGGAACAGAAAATTATGGTAGGTATGAAACCATTTTCCTTTTTCCTGATCAATCATGGCAGCATTTACTCATGGGGAATACCCAAGCAGTATATATAGAGGTAGGGACAGAGTTCAAAAAACGCTAATAGTTATGAAAACCATTATTGAGCTGCATAAACCTTAGAAGACTTTAAAAAGCCAAACAAGTAATGATTAGGATATTTTCATAAAGTGTGTTCACACAAGTTAATTTACCCTAGAGGCTGTTAGGTCAGCAACCACCTGGCATTCAAATGTCTAAAATATCCTGGATAAATATAGAGCCAGATAAGAATTAAGGTCATGATAGCCAAACCTAGAGAAAGAACAAGGCTAGACTTATACAAGACAAACTCTCATAAGAAATAAGGAACCCATCTTAATTTGGATAAAATTAAAATTAGACTGCCTGATGGGAAGGTGGAGGATATATTTATACCAGTTTCAGAGTTCTATTTCCTGTCCTTTCTGCTGTGAGGGGAGGAGATAACCCATGAGTAGTCGCTGCCATGATTGATCAGGAAAATTTCTAATGTATATTGTGAACCTCAAATGGAAAAACAAATCTACAAACAATCATATAACTTGCTATATATAGATGATAAAGAGAATTAAAATTAAAAAAAAAAAAAAAAATTAAAAAATAGGTTAAAAAACCTTGGATAAAGATCTCAACAAGATATAAAAAGAAAAAAATTAAGTATCCAAAAAACAAAGAGGCAATTGGAGGTTCTCCACACCGTTAAAAAAATTACAGGCCTATAAGATGGGGGGAGGTTGAGATTGAGAGACTCTAACCTAGATTCTATATGCCTGTTTATGTAAAAACACACCAGCATATAAAATCTGTGTATAAGTGGAAAACATAGATATTTTAGAATAATTAAAAAAAACCTGTGTATTATAAACAACTAAAAGATTTAAGCAGTAACTTCCTGCTATAAATGAGTATTCTGATTATCAACAACAATACGAAAGAATGACATTATGACCCAATGTTCAAGTTCTAGATATATGATAATCTTGCAACACATTCCTTCGAACCATTATAAATATGAATATCTATCAAAGATAAAAAGCAAATATATCTAAAAATAACTTGTATATCAAAGTCAGGGAAAAAAATAAACAAAAATCTTCTCACGATGAGAAAAGATAAATCACTCCTGTAATCAAACTGCACCCAAAATAACTAAACTATCTAGAAATACAAATTTGACTTCTCCGTATAGTCTCCATAATAAAATTATAATCCACACCAAAATATTAAGAAAATTTAGCAAACGTAAGTCTACAAGTCAGAAAAATATACGTATCAATCAATAAATTAAAATGAATTAATCCAACATTGACGTTTGCATAAGAAATAAGAAGAATAAATCCTCTGTAATATATTGTAATCCAAGGAAAATGAAGTGATCACAACTCACCTTTCTGGTTGTATTTAAAGTAATGATGCAAAGTCTAAAGATCAATACGACCAAGAATGCGTGAACTAGTGAAACATACTGGTTTAGAGTACACTTCTGCATTCAGTATCAAGCGAATTGTGATTCATTCGAATTTTGGGCAGTAAACGATGCATTCAAAATCCTAAACTCCAATATGCTATATGGACAAATCATGGAAAAAAACTTTAAAGGGAAATGGACAAAGCCATTGTAATCCTTTCATGATTAAAAGAATTATGTATGTGGCTTCCAAAAAAATAAAAATAAAGGTAGAATAAAGGACAATTGATTATTAGGAGACAGACACTAAATGTTGATTTTTATTGAAACATCATCTGAAAAGTGACAAATAGAGAAAAAAAAGGAACCAGTAAAAACATTTTTTTTTTTAAATCTTGATTTAAATATTTTAAAAATATGAATATTTTTTTTGACTGTTTTCTTCTTTTTCCCTTTATTAGTTACTTCTTTTTACTTGATCTGTGAACCAAATGGAGCAAAAATGCACCTTACAGTATAGTATATTTAATATTTACATTTTGCAGTACACTGATTGTCCAACTTTAGTGCCATTTTGGGTACTTCTGAATAGTCTTTCCCAAAATTCTTCAGAAATTAAACTCTCATGGACAAATCCCAAATCACTTGAAACAAATTATTATTATTCAAATCGATACATGGGAACCAGGGCCAGATTAAGAGCCCAGTGGGCCTGGTGCTGACAATTATGACGGGCCTAATTACAGAATCATATCGACCAAAAACAGTAAAACCTCCCAAGCGTCATGTATCTGATGGAGATGGTGCTGGAGAGATAGAAAACAGCAGGTATAAGAAAACGCATACCCTAGGCTAATCTCTCTCTAATTTATGTTTTCATTTTTCAAGTAAATCCATAACCCCTAACAACAGTGTCCAGTCAAACAGGAAGGTAAAAGGGTGTGCCATTGACACAAATCACGTAACCTGCCAAAAGGGGCGAACATGCCCAAAAAGAGGACATGTCTGCCCAAAGAATTAGAAGGCAGTCTGGCATGAATGCATGTCAGGCTGCCTGCCAATCATGCATCTGGCCAACTAAGGGCATACTATGCAGACAGCACCCTGAGCTTGGCATAAATGCATCTAATGATGCGCTCACTCAACGCTTTCTAAGGACTGTCCCCTAGCACTCGCTGGTCCACTTGTCTCCTTACCTTCTTGGTAGCAGGCAGAAGCTCCTGGTATATAGTCTGGGACAGAGAAAAGCTGTATGTAGTGAGTGGAGAAGAAAGAGAACATGCCACAGTGTTAGAGAGACCAAAGTCATCATTACCTTAAAGGATCACTATAGGGTCAGGAACACAAACATGAATTCATGACCCTATAGTGTTAACACCACCATCTAACCCCCCTGGGCCCCTCATGCCTCCATAAATATAGCAAAATCTTACTATATTCAAGCCTGAAGCTGTAACTCTGCATGCTGTTAGACTCATAAAAACAAGCAGTCTGCTGACATCATTAGAAGTGGTGGCCTGATCCGATCACAGTGCTTCCCCATAGGATTGGCTGACACTGACAAAGAGGCAGATCAGGGTCAGAGCCAGCATGATTCAAACACAGCCCTGGCAAATCAGCATCTCCTTATAGAGATGAATTGAATTAATCAAGTTCAGTGTCTGCATGCAGAGGGAGGAGACATTGAATGTTTGGATGCATTTTAGGCAGCCATGACCCAGGAAGGATCTCTAACAGCCATCTAAGGAGTGGCCAGTGAAGTTATCACTATGCTGTAATGTAAATACTGCATTTTCTCTGAAAAGACAGTGTTTACAGCAAAAAGCCTGACAGTAATGATTCCACTCACCAGAATAAATTCCATAAGCTGTAGTTGTTCTGGTGACTATAGTGTCCCTTTAACTATATTCATTGTCAGCCAGTCCACATAAGGTTTGTTCCCATACATCCCTCTTAAGTTTCCATACTTAAATAAGAGTATGTGAAAAGTAGTTAGGGTTTCCACCTTTCTTGGAAAAACATACCAACCTTACTAATTTGCATAATTAAATATGTATGGGTGATATCACATGATGTAAATCACAAGGAGAAAATGCTGTAAAATCACCAAAAAACTACTTAGTTTGATTCTGCTGTATAGATGGATTCCTCCCAGTGTCCTCATGACTCAGTGCCCCCATGTGTCGATTACTCCAGATCTCAGTGTTCCTATGTATCAGTGTCTCAGCGCCCCATGTCTCCCAGTGTCCCCTAGTGTCATGTCCCCAGGTCTCCCAGTGATCCTATGTATCACAGTGTCTGAATGCTCCATGTCTCCCTGTGTCCCCATGTATCCCAGGGTCCCCATGTCACTAGGACACTAGGAAGACGGGGAGACCTGGGGGCACGGGGAGACCTAGGAACACGGAGAGACCAGTGACACTGGGAGACTAGGGGACTCTGGCTAGGACACATGGGGACAATGGGAAAATAGGGGACACTTGAAGACACCAGGGACACAGACACTAGAGACACTGGCTGGGGGACATGGGGACATTGAGACATGGGGGCACTGGGAGACATGGGGACACTGAGACACCAGGGCCACAGACACTAGGGACACTAGCTTGGAGACATGGGGACATTGTGACACTTGAGGCACTGAGAGACATGGAGGCACTATGAGACATGGGGACAGTGAGACACTGGCAGACTGGGGGCACTGGCAGACTGGGGGCACTGGGAGACTAGGGGTCACTGGGAGACTAGGGGGCACTGAGACACCAGGGACACTGGCTGGGAGACATGGGGACACTGTGTCCCCATGTGTCTGTGTCATAATGTCCCCAATGTCCCTTAGTGTCTCAGTGTATAATGTCTCCCAATGTCCCTTAGTGTCTCAGTGTATGTCTCCTTGCAGCCTTTCACCCCATCCCTTACTTCCCTGAGCTGTAGGCTGTCTCTGCAGGGTGGGAGTTACTGTCTGGACTCTCTGTAGCTGCTCCCCTGCAGATCAGTGAGTATAGATAGGCAGGGAGGGATATGCTGGAACTTCCTATCCCTGCCTGTCTCCACATACAGCGACCCCTACTGGCCAGTGCTGGTATTGCATAGTAATTTCCATTTATACTGAGAAGAATACCAGCATTTGTATTGCCAGTATCACTGCAATATTGGCACCAGCCAGGCAGCCTCAAATACTGGCTGAGCCAATAAAATAAAAGCCAGGTGGAATCCCTAAGAGTAGTGTGTGGAAAAAAAAATGTAAAAAAAAAAAATTTTTTTTTTTTTTTTTAAATCAATGGGCCTATTCCATGGGCCTGGGCCTGGAGCTGCAGCTCCATCAGCCCCTATGTTAATCCGGCCCTGATGGGAACTTAAAGGGACACTTTAGCTTGCCGAAGGTCTTTATGTGTGAAGAGTGTGTCCTCTTTTTTTAATTTTATGAAAAATACAGATTTCAATAGAAATTGGCACTTTTATAAATTAACCGTGTTACATTCCCCAGCTGTCATCGGTCCTGTTACTATCTGGTTGACCAGAACACCTTTCTTCCAAAGACGTCTCATTGAGCTGCATTGGGAAGTCTGTGATTGGACAGTCACAGACAGTCTGGGTTGGGAAAGAAGAGGGTGCTTTTGCAAAGGCAGCAGACAAAAGATATGCAGCTCTTGCAAGCTGTTTTAGATATACTCCCAATGAAACATTGCATAATTAAAAGCATTCATGTTTTCTTTGGGGGTTATATCTATTAAATAGTTTTGGGTTTTTCAGATTTTATATTTGGGCAGTGGAGTATAGCTATATTTTTTTTTTCAAATGCATATGTCTAGTTTAGCGATACTGTGAGACTTCTCCATACCAGATGAATTATGTATACAATCAATAACCAATGTATTGCTTACATGTAGAAACTGAATGTTAACTATGTAATTGAACTCAACATAAATGTTAGATTTTGCTATGTAGTAAAGATATTCTAAGGTAGTCTGTGTTGTCATATTTTGTTATGACATTTACACTTATCTGAGTTTTATATATATATATGTATATATATATATATACATACCAAACGAGTTGTGGTGGGGAAAAAAGTGTAGATGAAAACCCCTTCCACCTAAAGTAAGTGGATAGTTAATACATTGCTAAATACACAGACCAGTCAAGCCATAAGACTTGCTTTTCCCACAGAAATCTCACTTTAACAGTGTTCTCACTACTGCAAAGGATTCTGGGTAGGTGTATGCATGTGTTTAGCAATGTATTAACTATCCACTTACTTCAGGTGGAAGGGGTTTTCATTTACTTTTTTCCCTAAAACAACTATTTTGGTATGTACTTTACAAGTAACGCCAAGCCTCCATAGCCAGCCAGTAACCAACATCATGCTGATGAGTTGCATTAACAAGGAAACAGCTGTCCATGAGTGGTTCACTGGCTTTGCTCCTCTTCCTGAGTTGTGTTTCAAAGTTTTAGTATACAGCAGACACATACTTCAAGGAATCCATGTATAAAATAGAATTATGAGGCAAAAATGTGGTTCCTTGTTGAGCTCATTTGCATACGCCTACCCAGAATCTCTTGCAGTAGTGAGAGCACTGTTAAAGTGAGACTTCGGTGGGAAAAGCAAGTCTTATGGCTTAACTGGTGTGTGTATTTGTGTTTACCAATGTATTAACTATATATATATATATATATATATATATAAATATTCACAAATAAGTGTAAATATCTTATATATATCTTTTTATATGTATGATGGATAGATAGATAGATAGATAGTCACAGGAAAAAAAATGTATATCATATTTTATGGTTACAAGAATTACATTGGTATATTGCAAAAATACTAAGTATGTACAAGGAGGAATTCTGGGGCAGTTATCCAAAAGTACAGCAATTACCATAGAAACATATGGAATGTTCCTTAATAGCTTTTTATCTATAACCTCCACCTTTTCCATCTATTCTACATAATTCTGCATAAGGTTAAACTTGGTTATGTGGCTTCCCTTTTTACAAAGAATTATGAAGAATATATACAGAAAACTTTCGTGTTATAATTTGCATATTAAACTACCAAGAATTTCCACATTCGAATTTGTTTCAAAAGCAGTGGATGCATGGGTTACCACTGCAACCACAAAAGTTTTGATTCATGGGTCTGGGGTTATCAAATCTACCCTACTGTATAATTGTTCTGTTATTTCTGGTTGGTGTTGCAAAATATAGGTGGTTAAATAAAAGTTTCAGTAGCTGCAGGCTGTTCGGATCATATGTTAAGCACACATAAATACCTATTACTGATGCAAAACAGGATGACTGCTAACATATATTTTTCCTACAGGTTACAAAAGTTACATTCATGCTCTAAACATATACTATATGATAGACTGTTTAAAAACATATTTAGATTAAGTTCATAATTATGAACAAAATGTATACATAGTTATGAGAAGAAAAAAAGAAAAAAAGAAGAAAAATAACTGATGTAGAAATTTGTAAGCCCGTGTACCTGAGTGCACACGTATAAATATATACATCAATACTAAAATCTGACTCAGAAAGGGAAGATTTAACAGGGTTATTCACTAAACTCTAAATTGTATAGGGAAAGGGACAAAACCATCTGGCTACATACAGGGTAATTGGAATGCTCACACTATTTAACAGTATCTTACTTTTACAATAGGTTCCAAACGAGCCTGAATATGGTATGAATTTCAGCCTCCGCAGAGCTCAAATGCGAAACTGGATTTCTGAAATTTGTGCCATAATGCTTGAAAATGCATAGACTCGTGTGAGCCACTCAAGGTAATAATACCATAGCAAGTCTCAAGAGAAGTGATACAAGCTAATAAATGTTTGAAGATTCATTCTGCATGGAACCCTCAAGGGGATGACCTGCTGTTCAGTAAATATGAGAAAAGCTATTCCAGTTGAGTGAAATGCCACGTAAGATTGTTTGTACCTGTTAAGAAAAGAGAATTGTGCCTGTTAAGATGATGCTCATTCTGCTCTTTTTTTGGCTTATTGAAATTTCTATTTTATTGAAGCAGTTACATAGAGTATAAAAGAGCTTTAATAAGTTAATAAGTATAAAAGAGCTTTAATAAGTTTAATAAGTCTGTAAAATATGCACATAAGTACCTCAGTTTTTAAAGGAACACTATAGTTACCTAAATTACTTTAGCTAAATAAAGCAGTTTTAGTGTATAGATCATTCCCCTGCAATTTCACTGCTCAATTCACTGTCATTTAGGAGTTAAATCACTTTGTTTATGTTTATGCAGCCCTAGCCACACCTCCCCTGGCTATGATTAACAGAGCCTGCATGAAAAAAAAAACTGGTTTCATTTTTCTCTAAATTGAACTTAATCACATACAGGAGGCTCTTGCAGGGTCTAGCAAGCTATTAACATAGCAGGGGATAAAATAATCTTAATTAAACAGAACTTGCAATAAAGAAAGCCTAAATAGGTCTATCTTCACAGGAAGTGTTTATGGAAGGCTGTGCAAGTCACATGCAGGGAGGTGTGACTAGGGTTCATAAACAAAGGGATTTAACTCCTAAATGGCAGAGGATTGAGCAGTGAGGCTGCAGGGGCATGTTCTATACACCAAAACTGCTTCATTAAGCTAAAGTTGTTCAGGTGACTATAGTGTCCCTTTAAGTATGTGTGTACCCAGAACCATGCACATTAACTAGACTGCCAGAGTTCTCAAAAGGTTGTGGGGAATAACTGGTCTTAGATTTTATTGTTAAAGGAGCACTCCACCCATAGAGAACTTCATATTGCTCAATCGCTATAGGACTATGAAGTATCCCTTTAAAATTCCAGTTTATAAAACTGACAATTTCATTGTGAAATTAGCACTTTTATATTTCAAAATAGAAATGCCTCCCCAGCTGTCAATCATACCGCTGGGGAGATTCACTTCCCACTTCCCTTAGCTCCACTGAGCTAACAGAAGTAGCAGGTGCATTCTTATAGAGCACGCCTTGCATCCGATAGTGGACTCACAGAAATGCCTGGGGGCCGCAATCGCTGGGTGACCAGCAGGAAGTGCCCCTCCTTCCAGTCATCTCATGCAGTGTCTAGCCCCACTCCCCTCCCTGTTTTTTATTCCCCTCTACCCTCAGTGTTTCTCATTCTCCTCTCCTCCATGTGTCTCTCCTCCTCCCCTTCCGTTTTCTCCCCTTCTGTACATGCAGACCTGGCAGCATGGCCAACCAGGTAAATTGCTGAGTAAATTGCTCTTATCAAAACATTTGTAGAGATGTATTTAGTTGTGTTTCTGCTAAATATCCCTGATGACATTTTTCCAGAATGTACACATGGGGTCTTTTGGCCTAAACCTGGACCTTTTGACAGCTAGGGTAATACAATTGTGAGAGACCGCCTGGCACCCCGTCTAGGTACCTCTGTCAGTCGAAGCTCCTAGTGCTCACCGAGGACTCCAAGCACTCTACCCGACACCATCAACACTGCAGTCCCCACGTCCCAGCTTGGCTGGGAACTTGCCGTCCTCCACTCACCCTGGACCCAAAACCAGGATCCAGCTTCCAGTGGGTGAACTTCTCCTACTCCAGAGAGCATT